TGTCCTTACTTTAATTAAAAAAGACTTTTACCTCTTGATTGGAGATGCAGACCTTGGTATTAGGAAGCGAATGATACTTTCTATATGTAAAAAATTAAAACTTTATGATTCAATATAATTTTTTAAAAATAATAAAAAGTTAATTTTCTTAGCCATACATTGACTTTGGAATGAAAACAGTAGCATCTACTTCAACATTTAAAATAGTTAAATCATAGAAAAATACTTATTCAATACAAGATGAACTAAATTATTAGTAAGATGCTGTTTAGGCGATGGATTTAAACCTATAAAACATCTAAACTAGATTTTTGTAAAATTTCGAAGATGACGAATATTCTTATTTAGTATCAACTAATCCAAGCAAAAATTCAACAGATTACACTCCGTTAATTATGGCTCATCCTAGTATGAATATTAGTAAAATATAAAAATTTTTATTACAAAGACTAAATATTTAATTTAATAATAATCATTTTTGATATTAGTCAACTCAAATTAATTAATTTTAGCTTTAATAATATTTAATTTTTGTTTATTTCCTATTATTTAAATTAAATTAATTTAATTCATTCTAGAATTTTATGAGAAATTAATTAACTTTAAATTAAAAATAGGTACACAATAAAATATTTATGATGTAGAATTCTAAAATGAATAAAGCAATGACAATGATAAGTATATGTATGCAAATTAAACTAGCTTTCTAAGCGAAATCTTTACTATTGAAAATTCATGTAAAGAATTGATTCAAATGAATAACAGCTACATAAGAACTATTGTAAAGGATGGATAATAGTATTTAACAAGGTTTTCACCTATTTTCGTATGCTATGGAAATTTATATGAACAATATAGCAGTAAAGTTGCTTACTATGTTAAATCAATTTCGTATTAAAAAAGAGATAAAAGTACAAAGGAAGTTTCTTAAATGATGGAATTTATGGTCAAAACAATATTTATTTTGGTTATTGTAGCTATTTTATTTATAAGCATTATTTTTTTCATTTTGCTAAAATATTTTCTAAAGCATAATTTCGAAATTCCAATAGCCATAGTAAGTAAAGTTATTTAAGAAGCTGATTGTGAAAGGT